CAACGTTTAAGAAATCTGGCGACTATGAGCAAGACCATTTTATAGGTCAATAGTTTCTTGAATGGAATAGCTAAAAACGAAAGTACAAAGCCGGAAATGGCGGAAAATACGTTCAACGATCGCGAAGTGCACGCGTACCGGCGACACCACTCTACTTCTTTTGTATGTTTTTGTCACTCTTGTGAACTACTATTTCGGGGGTGCCTGGATAGTGGAAGCAGACTTTGTGCTGTTGAGGCAAGAAAGGTGAACAGAGTAAGCTTGATTCCCCTTTTGGACTTCCCTGTTGACATCCACCCCTTGTCGCTCAAATGACCTAAAATCTAGATTCTCTAGGTCTAGATATCTAGAGTAGATCTAGATCTAGAAAATTTATTTTCCAGGTAGTAAATTTTTTCAGAAAATATTGCTGGACACCCCAAGTTGAGCCCTCAAAGCAATGCATCTGTGTGTGGGTGCATAGGCATAAGTAAAAATTTACCTTCTTGGTTCAATATTCATGGAGAAAAGAAAACTACTGAACATTCTTGATGAACTTTGACGTCTTTGAAGTGAAGCAGGAAGTTAATTTCAAGAACCTTGTATAGACTCGCATTCTTTTCGTGATAGCATCTTCACATATGACCCATGTCTGGACAATGCTGTAATGCAGACTCCTGATGCTCTTTTTGCCCCCCTTGGGAATTGTTCATAGTTTAGATGCTTTGTTTCACCTCACACCTTTTTTAGAGCTGTTAGTTGCGCAGTTTGATAAAAGAATCTTTTCCTTTTCCAGCAATGGCGGACGCAGCAGCAGCACCAGCCGGTGATAGCCAACGGGGTGGTTTCCGTGGTGGCTTTGGAGACCGGGGCCGTGGACGTGGGAGGGGTAGAGGTCGTGGCCGTGGGAGAGGAAGAGGGCGTGGTGCCAAGGAAGGTGACAAGGACTGGGTTCCCGTCACCAAACTCGGCCGCCTTGTCCAGGATGGGAAAATCAAGTCTCTGGAGGAAATCTATCTGTTCTCCTTGCCCATCAAGGTAAGTCGTGGTGTGGTTTAACCCTATCCGTATGCCCTGGTATCATTTTGTACCCCCGGGGTTGTATTCTTCACATTTTAGATTACTTCTAGTACGAAAATCTCTTTGAAACTTTCAGTTTCAGTAGTTCTCTAAAAGATATTGGTATTTTTTTTACTCTCCCTCCCGTCTCACACTCAGCTACCAGTTGTCTATTTTCTACTAAATATTGATGCGCTGAACACGAATATCAACTGCATTTCCGTCGCAAATTATTAGTTTTTGAAATATTTGATTGTTTTTAACCGAGATAGACATGCTTTGAACCAAATTGGGGGGGGGGGGGGGGGGGGGGGGGGGGGTTACAGGGGGGCATGCCCCCCTGTTTTTATCCATAATTTGATATTTTACAGTTAGATTTGAAATTGTCTTGAAAATAATTGCTTTGCCACAGTTTTAGTGGCTTTATGTGTGATCTGCAGCAAACAGTACAGCAGTTTGACCCCTGAAACAGTGCATCTGTGTGCGGGAGTGAAAGTACAAATTTACCAAGTCATTTATCATTTTGACAGACTGCTGTGCAAAGCGTACAGATCGGATTAACGAGTAAATTTCCTCTTTGGAAAGTGGTGGCACAGAGTTCCCCATGTTGTTTGGATACGATAGTAAAACACTGCGTACCGAGGGTTAATACAGTATAAATCGGATAGCTCCAATTTCGACAGGACCGACCTCTGAAGATCGAGGGATATCTTACAAAGATAAAGAGGGAAAAAATGGGTCTGCAGGCACAGTTCGACGGATGCGTGATTCCGAGTTTTCTGTGTTCGACCTATCCGTGTTATACTGTAATTTTTAAATGGGAGTGTATACAGACCCGGTAGGGAAACTCTTTAGTGATTTCGGAAAGTTTCAGCCCCCTCTTGGCTCAGGGTAGAACTAGGTTCATCTAGATGTAAATCTAAATGAAGATTGCAGTACCCCCAGTGGGTCGGGGGGATATAAATAGACCCACTGCTTCGTCTGCAGAAGGTGCAACCCCTTCAAAGGCGGAGTGTCGCACAC